CACTAGGAAATCTTCGAATAGACCCGAAAAACAATGAAAAAATGTAACTTTTTAAGACATCTAGTGAAAAAAAAAAACGAATGCGTGGCGAAAACGAAACTTTTTTGCAGATTTCACTTTTAAGCGATAAAATTTTTTTGAAAATGATTTTTGTCTGTTGACACGATCTCTGATATTGCGTCTTCTCTCGAGAATTGTGCAATAATCCGCTCATTAGAGGATATAAGTTGGGTGCAAAATCAAATTTGTAATGACTGATTGATGATCGATTCCGAAAACTTTTTTTCCCGATTCCAGTCAGGATTTCATTTGGTTGACAAGTATCGAACGTTTACATTTGCTTTTTCTCTCATTTGTATACATGCATGCATCTGCTTACAGGAATGTGAGGTTTATCAGTGGATTCTTCGAAATGCGCTAATTCAATAATCTTATATTCGAAAAATTTTGCTCCGTTACGAAATTTTGAAGATTAGATACCGATTTGAATAAACAATAAAAAGAAGAGCCGAATGAGGAAATGATATTTGATGGCTATAAGCAGATAATGGATAGGATTAAACCTTCTGGTTGTTCTAGAACATCTGACTGAGAGGAATCATCATCGTAGAATGAGGCATATAAAAATGAGGATGGTTGTGCGAAGAAGTAGACCTTATGATCGGATTTTGCTTTTGCAGCGATGAAGCCTTGCTCTAAGCTGAACGTCAGCAGTCGTTGCAGTAAATACTTCGCCTCAGCGATACTTCCACACTCCTCGAGAATCGTCTCCACATTGCCAATCGCGTCTGCATCGCTGCTGTTCGCATCCTGAAATGTTCCCTCTTAAATTATTTAAATCACATAAGAAAGTGAGTTCATTCAATCGCTCAGATGCGTTCGAAAGTATCAGCTCAGTTCAGGAAGCTGGCTTGCCCATTCATCATCATCTGAATAAATCTTTTGATCGAGTAATCCAGTCATATCAAAACGACACTTGTAGCAGCCAGATTACAACGTAGATTAAGATTAAGTACTATTAATACATAAACAGATCTTAAATCGAAGTGATCAAACATCACGGATAATAATAGTAACAATAACGGTAGTGATTGATATGAGGTGGATGGAAATTCAGAACTGCGATTAAAATACATTAGTTGATGAGAAATTTGATAGAGTTGTCATTATGATAATATAAGACCATAATATTTTATCAAGTGCTAAGGATGGAAGTTCGAAATACTAACAGAACGAAATATGCATATTTGTAACTGATTGTGAGGAATCTGTTCTGGTGAAATATGGAACAGAAAAACCAAAACAGTACAAACTGCAATGATTCTAACAATGAACTCCGCTTGGTTGATCAATTTATATGAGCGCACCTCGTCACTCTTCACATTTCTTAAGATCGCCTAAAATATGCATATAAATATGGCATCGTCAAATAATTCCACTGATATGCGAACATATTTGGCGCTAAGTGGATTGAACAGCCGAATGGTTCAATGATATACAAAGGAAACAGAGGACTTGATTGCCAATCCCCTTTGAACAATTCCTTCTCGGCTCTCGGACACACCTCATCTCAACCAATTTCACTCTGTCCTTTAGCGGACCAGAACAATCCCCAGAGACAAATGCTATCCGAATAGATCACTAATTCGCGAAATACTTGGACTTCAGCTCTTGAAAAACGTTCAGCTTTTGAAAAACTATTACCGCATGAATTTATTCGGCAACAATGTGACTGTATTCTCGAACTTAATGCACGAATTTGACCCCGCTGCTAGCA